CTTGAACGATTTTACTATTAGAATACTAAAATTATAACCTTAACATAGACTCTAACCCTATCTTAAACGAACTTAAAGATTTTTGACGCGATCACGTGTCCGTAGAATTTTGGTCCCGATGAGTTCGCCCCAAAAATGCGGGTCAGATGATAAGACGCCACAACCACTGCATAATTTCTTAAAAAATGGTCTAGCTTCCGCATGCAGCTTTATTATTGTAATCCGATTTACGCAACAAAGCAATATACTGGTTATTGAGAAATGGCTGTGCAATGATTCAGATCATGTGGCCTGCACTGCCGCCCTGGCGAACTCTGGTGGCGATACTGGGGAAGACCAAAAGACCAAAAAACTAGCTATAGCGATAGCAAAATTACGTATTGGTTTGGCGTCTTTACCTAGTGAATAAGACTCATACAGGGGGACCGCATCGGAATTCTGGCCGGATTGCCGGAATTGATTAATTTTGCCCAAGATCACATCCACAAAAAATTAAAAATTAATTCCGGCAAAAATTATGCATAATGCGGGCCAGAATTATGTCGATCACAGCCGTTGGCCAATCAAAACCGTGCGGTAATACATGCCGGGCATGCAGATCTTATTCCCCCTTTTTGGACATCTATAGGCAATATAAGAAATAAGCTTCGCTAATTAGCAATCATTAATCTTTTAATAGCGGAGTTTTCCCGCCTATTCTATAGAACATCCTTTTTGTTCCAAAAATGGAGATTTTTAAGTTTAAGGAACATTTTTCGCTTAATGGGCAGTCGCGATTTCATTAGTAAAAATTTGAGTTCGTCGCCGTTGGCCAAAATCCTGGCATGTGCCCGTGTCTAACAAAGAATTTTAGGGCACAGGCATTTTTTTTGTTTGCCTTAAAATGCCAGGCATTTTTGTGCCTATAGATACTTTGTGCCTGGCTTTAGGGTTCTAGCACTTCTGTAACTGTGTGACTTTTGTGCTTGGCTTAAAAGTGCTAGGCACTTCTGTAACTGTGTGCACTTTTGTGCTTGGCTTAAAGTGCTAGGCACTTATGTGCCTACGGACATTTCGTTTTTAGCTTAAAAGTACTAGACACGAGCATAGCGGGCTTTAATTTTGATTGGATGATCGGATAAAATGTTACACAATATGTTCACATATTAGAGTAACGTT